TAAAAACAAAATCACAAGCTAAAAAGAGAAAACATGAGAGAAAGGGAACCATGGGAAAGGAAATACTGGATGAATATCTGTTTTTTTGTTTTTGCATGCAAGTCTCATATTTAAAGTGAAGAGGTTACTAAAGTTAGAAAAATTATTGTATATCAGAATAAAAATTCAGAAGTGACATAATGTATTTGTTTTGTATTTTTGGATGAAAATAGTGCTGCTTAAATGAAAATCGTACGATCTGGTACAAGAAAAATTTTCGTGCTTGTCCCTTCAAATCATTTCGGACAAAAGTGGTTTACTGACGATCAGATTTATGTATAAATCGATTCAAAAGCTGTATTTTTGTACGATTTTTTGATCGTATATAATAGGCTTAGGGCAGTGCAAAACGGAAAGTATACTCAACTGCAGAACAGTTAGTGTGGGACACTGGGGTTGGTTTATTAAAAGCAAACAGGCTGTGCACATTGCAAGTGCAGTTGCTCCAGAGTTTAGTAAATGAGGTAAAGCTTTACATTAGAAAGAATAAATGCCCATTCACTTGCAAGGAAATTAAAAACACACAGAATTTTTGCTTGTACATCATTAGAGGATAAGAGTCACCAGACCTTCCCCTCATTTACCAAGCTCTGGAGCAAATGCAGTCTATTTGCCTTTAGTAAAATCAACTCCACGGACTCTTATAGTAAAACCATCCAAGGCATTTCATTAAGGGAAGCCAAGAAATAGGAGACACCAAGGAACATCTAACAGTCTGTGCCATGGGTAGAAAGTTTAAAAAAAAAAAAAAAAAAAAAAAAAAAAAGGAATAATGAAGTACACTGGAGTGTAGAGTCACAAGGGTAGCAGAGCCATGGAAACTAGTTCCTGTACAAAAAAAACAAAACAAAATGGCAATTGTCCCAACCTATAACCAACCTTAGCAGAAAGGTGCACATGAAAGGGCAATGCACATCACAAAGGATTTCCCAGCAATACTTACCTGTCAGCTTGCAGAACAACCAATTTGGTCCTTACAGTTTACATTAAAAACAGAAAAAATGTTTGAGATGTGCATTGCCCGTCCATGTGCACTATGCTGATAAGGCTGGTTATAGGTTGGGATGGTTGCCATTTTTTTTCACAGCTGACTGAACTGGATGCAAGGAGGCACTGGATGTTTTTTCTATCACTTTGCTATATGTGCTTGTCACGTGTGTCCCTTTAAAGGGAGATGGGCACCTCTAGGTACACCTGCCCTTAACCTATCCATTGATATATATGCACCTACTGTGGAGGCTCTGGAGATTTTAGAGTTAGGTCCACAGTATGCAGAGGACCCTTGACTTGGGACTGCGGCTTACGTATGTATTTGCAAAATGTGTGCAAACAAACCTCTCTGTTTGTAACGCAAACTGTTAGACAGGGCAAAACTAGTTGTTTTGCAAACTGGCTGTTAAGTGTGCTGGGAAATCCTATGTTTGTGATGGAAACTAGTTCCTGTTAATGCAAGACAACACAAAACCCTACAATGAAAATGGTTACGCTTCAAATTATGGAAAAATAACTAATTTCTAGAATTACTTGGGTATTCCCACACTTCTCTCTGAACTAAGCATCAAGGGGTGCAAAGATGCCACAAAGGAAAGAAAAACAAAGATGCTTGATCTAACTTAAGAGTTGTTCCACATGGGAGATTTTGAGAATCAAAAACTGCTAAAAAAAAAATAAAAAAAATAAACCAACTGGTGTTTAACAGAAGGAGAACAATGTAGAACGCTGAACAGAAGAGAGGAATTGTGACTGCATACAGAAAGTGCTTGGGTTGTTTGCCCCATATTATATGGTTTTGGTAAATCTAAAGAAAAATTGTACAAGAAATTGTATAATGTAAGACTCAATATCTGAAATGCCAGGCGGATTCCCTAACTTTAAAGTAGAATACAATGCATCTATCAGAGGATCAATAACTTTTTGCTTTAATGGGACCTGCTAAAATACAGGCTCTGCAAGAGAAGGCTCTCTAAGTTCTGAATCAGGTATAGCACTGGGAACCTCGGACACACTTTCGGGTTGAAGTGGGAAAATGCACCACATTGTGCCCAGAACCCTTGTGGGTAGGTTTTTACATTAACTGTTCACAAACCAACAAAAAAATTCTGGAAACCGTAAATTAACAGTCTTGTGGAAGTTTGCGAGACAACAGAAATTGCCACTATTATCCACAGAGTATGTGTGTCCTTGTAAAGACATGGTGCACTGCACAAGAGAAAAACTAGGCCCTAGTGGTAAACAAAAGCAGGTGTGGAGGAGAGTCACTGGAGATGACCAAATACATAAAGGAGGGCCATGGAAATACACCAGAAGCCCAAACAATCCACAAATATTGGGGAAACAGGAGCCACAAGACAAAGCTTCTTGTATGCCAAAAAGGCAGGAGAGAAAGCACTAAGCCACAATTGTAACACTCCACCTAATGGTGTCTTCAGCCTTAATAATCATTGTGTCACAGGTGGTAAAATATACACAATTGTGCTAGCTATGAGGTGGTATACAGTGCAACTGGCCTTTTCATTATTTGAGTCCTAAAAGATGAAGCCCACCAGAGCCAGTACAACACTTTGTAGTTGACAGAAAGTTGTCTGAAAGTCACAAACCTCGGTGGCCGCAGGTCATGTTCCAGTCAAATACCACTATCTGATAAGACAGGACACAGAACATGGATAAAAAATGGTTCTCTCATTCAGTAAAGTCAGCCATAGACAGCTAGAATCTCAGCCAAATCTGCAGGGACCAGCTTGAGATTTGATCCATCTATGGGCACCATCAATTGACTTTGGTATAACCAGCATGTTGGATTTTTACATACAATTACTGCCAAAGGCTATAGATGTGAGCAATAATCACTGTGTCCTCCCAGCAGGAATGGCTGCACCGCCCTACCACCCCTCCTCCCGTGAGAGCACAATAGCTCTGACTCTGTTGACAGGGACTAGCACTGGAGCAATGCAAATGGCTCTGAACATGCAATGTGTTCTGCAGTTAACTTTTCCCAGAATGAAGTCTGGAAAGCACCCAATGTGGAACAAAGTGCCCAAATGTCACGTTCAATCCAGCAAGGTCTGGAAATGGTACTCCAAATGTTTATAATGGTCAGATTTTATTTGGTAAAAACTTTATCCCAAAAGCAAAATGACTTTCCAAAACGGGTCTCCAAACTCAAAAGCAAAGGGCCAGTTTATTGTCCTTCAGGCTTTAGGGGGCCAGGCTGTGGGCAGCGGGAATTTTTCTGGCAGTGAGAATAAATATTACATTTGATATCATTGGGAGCAATAGTGCCACATTGTTGCTGTTAGTGGGAGAAATGGTGCCCCACTATTGAGGTCAGTTGGCAGAAAAGTGTCTTGTATCAGTGGGAGGAATATTGCCCAAAGAACCAGATAAAGACAAGCAAAGGGCCGCCGTTTAGTGACCACTGTTCTAGAACTGCCTAAAAACTTATCTGGAGTTGAACTGTAAGTTAATACCGTATGCAAAGTTCATTTAACACTACCCTCGCCAGACAATGCGGATGTCCAAGGGTGGCTCCATTGCCCCTTGATTTATAGAGAAACCGCCCTAAGACAAGAAGTGTGTTACTGGACAGATCACTTGGTCCAAAAAAAATAAAAAATAAAACACTCAGAAAAAAGGAATGCAGCCATGACTTCTAATTTTGGGTACTAATAAAATTCATGCCCCTCCCACTCATATATAGAAGAAATGTCTGGTCAGGACCATGGCTACTGCCTTAGAAAATCAGCACCATAAATCATATTCAGTGATACATAGTGGGTATATGAATATGAAAAATGGCTTTGTAGGGGGCATAAAAAGAATGATGGGCTCCACTGCCTTCATACTCCTCTTTTCATTTACACTGTATAACGTTGGTACCAGCAAGGTGGTGTCATACAAAGCTTTGCAAAGTGTGGTGAAAACATTGTGTTAATCACATTTAAACAGACATGAAAATCTACATGTTTAAGCATTCTGAAATCTCTTACAGCTTACTGGCTGAGAAAAGTTCGTCATTTATTTGAGCTCTCTTTCTGAAGTCTTTTACACAAGCTACAGAACCTCTAAAATTGACATTAATCTAAAGATCTCTTCTCCAAGACTGAGCGATCAGGCAATTGTACACAATAATATTTGAATATATAAAACAGGTAAACAGCTGATAAAGACAGCCAGTCACAACCATGCCTATAGAAGGAATCTGAATATTCTGACTTTTTTGTTATTTTTAATTGACTTCGTTTGACAGCTGGTCAGTGTGCCTGAAAGTCATAACGGATTAAAAAGGCATGTAGTGTGAAGTTAGGCAGTTGAAAGGATTTTTATAACTATGCACTAATATTACCCCCAAACCTTCCTCTAGAGCAGTGATGACGAACCCGTGGCACGCGTGCCACAGCCGGCACGCCGAGCCTTATCTGTGGGCACGCCAGGAGAATACCGTATTTTTCGCTCCATAAGACGCACTTTTTTTCCCCCAAAAAAGGGGGGAAAATGTCAGTGCGTCTTATGGAGCGAATATAGAGCGGCCGGTCCGGTATTTCCACCGCCGCCGTGTCAGAATACCGGGCCGGCCGCTCAGCTCTGCAGTGGGACCGTACCTGTCCCTCTATCCAGCGGCGCGCTGTCTTCCCGGCTTCTGTAGTGTGCGTGACAGCCGGGTCCCAAGTGCGCATGCGCAAGAAGCAGTGCTCTTTGTGAATGGTAAGGCGGTACCTGGGACACATGACAGATCCCAGAAGCCGCCGGACCAATCACAAAGCGCAGCGCTTCTCGCGCATGCGCACTGGGCATCCGGCTGTCCGACGAGCGCCCACACTACAGAAGCCGGGAAGACAGCGCGCGGCTGGATAAAGGAACAGGTAAGATAAAAAAAAAACTCTGCGGAAGTAAGAGCGGGTACCTGTCAAATTCAGGTACCCGCTCCCCCTCCCTCCCCAAAGGTCAGCAGTCATCTGTACTGTCCGCAGTCTCTGGTCATCCCTGTACTGTCCGCAGTCTCTGGTCATCTCCTGTACTGTGTCCGCAGTCTCTGGTCATCCCCTGTACTGTGTCCGCAGTCTCTGGTCATCCCCTGTACTGTGTCCGCAGTCTCTGGTCATCCCCTGTACTGTGTCCGCAGTCTCTGGTCATCCCCTGTACTGTGTCCGCAGTCTCTGGTCATCCCCTGTACTGTGTCCGCAGTCTCTGGTCATCCCCTGTACTGTGTCCGCAGTCTCTGGTCATCTCCTGTACTGTGTCCGCAGTCTCTGGTCATCTCCTGTACTGTGTCCGCAGTCTCTGGTCATCTCCTGTACTGTGTCCGCAGTCTCTGGTCATCTCCTGTACTGTGTCCGCAGTCTCTGGTCATCTCCTGTACTGTGTCCCGCAGTCTCTGGTCATCTCCTGTACTGTGTCCGCAGTCTCTGGTCATCTCCTGTACTGTGTCCGCAGTCTCTGGTCATCTCCTGTACTGTGTCCGCAGTCTCTGGTCATCTCCTGTACTGTGTCCGCAGTCTCTGGTCATCTCCTGTACTGTGTCCGCAGTCTCTGGTCATCTCCTGTACTGTGTCCGCAGTCTCTGGTCATCTCCTGTACTGTGCTGTCCGCAGTCTCTGGTCATCTCCTGTACTGTGTCCGCAGTCTCTGGTCATCTCCTGTACTGTGTCCGCAGTCTCTGGTCATCTCCTGTACTGTGTCCGCAGTCTCTGGTCATCTCCTGTACTGTGTCCGCAGTCTCTGGTCATCTCCTGTACTGTGTCCGCAGTCTCTGGTCATCTCCTGTACTGTGTCCGCAGTCTCTGGTCATCTCCTGTACTGTGTCCGCAGTCTCTGGTCATCTCCTGTACTGTGTCCGCAGTCTCTGGTCATCTCCTGTACTGTGTCCGCAGTCTCTGGTCATCTCCTGTACTGTGTCCGCAGTCTCTGGTCATCTCCTGTACTGTGTCCGCAGTCTCTGGTCATCTCCTGTACTGTGTCCGCAGTCTCTGGTCATCTCCTGTACTGTGTCCGCAGTCTCTGGTCATCTCCTGTACTGTGTCCGCAGTCTCTGGTCATCTCCTGTACTGTGTCCGCAGTCTCTGGTCATCTCCTGTACTGTGTCCGCAGTCTCTGGTCATCTCCTGTACTGTGTCCGCAGTCTCTGGTCATCTCCTGTACTGTGTCCGCAGTCTCTGGTCATCTCCTGTACTGTGTCCGCAGTCTCTGGTCATCTCCTGTACTGTGTCCGCAGTCTCTGGTCATCTCCTGTACTGTGTCCGCAGTCTCTGGTCATCCCTGTACTGTGTCCGCAGTCTCTGGTCATCCCTGTACTGTGTCCGCAGTCTCTGGTCATCCCTGTACTGTCCGCAGTCTCTGGTCATCCCTGTACTGTCCGCAGTCTCTGGTCATCCCTGTACTGTTAATTAGTTTGCACTACTGTACGAGTTGTTTTTTCTAAACCAAAAGCTCGATATTCAGGTTTCATTGCAGTGTTGGCACTTTGAAAGAAATAAGTTGGTTTTGGGTTGCAGTTTGGGCACTCGGGCTCAAAAAGGTTCGCCATCACTGCTCTAGAGTATGTTCAAGCATCACATTTTCCTGTTACCTGTAGAAACAACTTTTACTAGTTCCCCTGATGTTATCGCCAGGCATGCAAAACCATTGCAGGGCCAGCTGCTGGGAAGAAGAATCACCAGGGTGCTCAATATTAGTTCCTATCAACACAGGAAATTACTTTGTAGTCCAGCAGTGGACAGCTAAGGAAGGACTGAGAATACTGCTCTGGATTTCAATGGCAAATCCTCCCACAAAAAAAGAAAATTAGGAGCTCATTGGATTTGGGGTAGGATCATTGAGTTGTTATGCATTTTCAGTGTTAAGGCTAGGTTCACACTAGAATGTGGTGCAGTAAACCTGTGATCCATGCGCACTTCCAACATCATGTTCAAAATGCACTGCTGTTGTGGTCTGCAGCAGGTGTCAATGTTGTGAAAAAAGAAAATAAATCCCTGCGCTAAGCCCAATATCACATGTAATGAAGAACAACAAATGAATAAATGAAAATAAACAAAATGAACTGCTGCTACTTCCTTCCTAAATACCAGAATGAATAATTGCAACACATAAAGTGCGCTGGTCACTTAATGCTATGACAAATAAGAAAATATGTGCAAACTAGAAATTCGTATGTGATCAAATAATGTGTATATAATACAAAATAGAACAACCTGCAATATATATATATATATATATATAATATATATATATATATACCATCAATTAAATGATATACAGTACAATGTAGTGCAAAATAAACGCATGTACAGTTGTGCTCAAAAATTTGCATACCCTGGCAGAAATTGTGCAATTTTGGCATTGATATTGAAAATATGACTGATCGTGCCAAAAAATGCTCTTTTATTGAAGGATGATGATCATATGAAGCCATTTATTATCAAATAGTTGTTTGGCTCCTTTTTAAATCATAACAGAAATCACCCAAATGGCCCTGATCAAAAGTTTACACACCCTGGAATGTTTGGCCTTGGTACAGACACACAAGGTGACACACGAGTTTAAATGTCAATTAGAGGTTAATGTCCCACATCTGTGGCTTTTTAAATTGCAATTAGTGCCAGTGTATAAATAGTCAATGAGTTTGTTATCTGTTACATGGAAGCACTGAGTAAGCTAGATACTGAGTCTTGGGGATCAGAAAACTGTCAAAACTCCTGCGTAACAAGGTAATGGAACTTTATAAAGATTGAAAAGGACAAAGTTCCATGTTAGCACCTTGCTATGCAGGACTTCTGATTTATTATTTTTTTCTAAAAGGTGAACTTATCCCTTAAAGGACTATCATGAGTGCTTGATTTACCCATCTTCATCCTACTGAAAATCTGCCGTGAATAGAATAAAAAAAAAGCCCTGGGCAGGCAGGCTGTGTGCCTATATAATCCTTCGCATTTCAGCATGTCAAATAGGTCTTATAGAGAAGGATTTTTCGGTTTTAGACAACTCTCCTACTACTATATTCTCCATAGTAGAAACCCAATTTAATGCAAAAACAGGGAAAATGGAACCCACGTGTATTGGACACAGAAAGTGTCCTGATAACTCAAAGTAATATTAACGGTTTCAATACCGTGCAATTTTACACCTTTCTGCCCAGGCCATTTTTCAGGTTTCAGCGCTCTCACACTTTGAATGACAATTGCGCGGTCTTACAACACTGTACCCAAACTAAAATTTTATCATTTTCTTCACACAACTAGAGCTTTCTTTTGGTGGTATTTAATCACCACTGGGGTTTTTATTTTTTGCTAAAATTAACAAAAAATGACCTAAAATTTTGGAAAAAAAACACATTTTTCTTTGTTTCTGTTATAAAAGTTTACAAATAAATAATTGTTCTTCATAAATTTAGGCCAAGATGTATTCTGCTACATGTCTTTGGTGAAAATAACCCAAATTAGGATGTATTTTTTAGTTTGTAGGAAAGTTATAGAGTTCACAAACTATGGTATAGATCTGAATATTGATCAATCTGAAGTACTGACAGCCAATCTAATTTCTTGAGGTCCAAGAATGTCAGAACAGTACAGATATCCCCCAAATGACCCCTTTTTGCAACCTAGACAGTCCGACGTACTTCATAAGAGACATGGCGAGTTTTTTGAAGTTGTATTTTTTTTTGTCATAATTTTTCGGAAAATGAAAAAATAAAAAAAATTATTTTCACTATTTTTTTTTTTTTTTTACATACTGTCACCAGTGCAGTACAGCGTCATCATATAACTGGCATGGCGGTTAACAGGGACACTGACTGGTGACAGTATGAAAAAAAAAAAAAATATATATTTTTTTTTTTTATTATATTTAATTTTTTATTACATTTTTTTTTATTTTCTTTAAGATTTTTTTTTCATATTTTACTATGACCAAAGTAGTACAATGTTACCATAGTAACATTGTACTACTTTGGGGAAGTGATCAGTATTTTTTTTTTTTTTTTTTTTTACACAATTTGCTTATAGCAAAGAATTACTTTGCTATAAGCAAGCATTTACCTGAATGAAATCGATTCATTCAGCTTTTTTTTTTTTTTTTTGTGCTTAGCTGTGATTTGGTCACAGCTAATCACATGACATGTGCATGTGATTAGCTGTGACCATTCACAGCTAGGCACTAGTATACAATGGATGGCATCATGAATGAAGCCATCCATTGTATACAACTGTCATGTGACCTGCTGTGATTGGTCACAGCAGGTCACATGGTACCAGCAACGGGAGCCGGTACTCGGATCTGTCATCGGCCGTGTCTGAGGTGCACGGCCGGTGACAGATCGCACTGCTGCGCCTCTCTGCATTAGCGCAAACTGCGCATGTGCGGGAGCACGCCAAATGGCGTGCACCCGGAGTGCAGAGACACATTTGAAGCCGCCAAACGGCCATTGGCCGGGCGGCTAATGGTTAAACCCAAAAATCAAATATATTTCAGCTTAACAATCAGACGTGGTGGCTGAATGTTTTTAAGCCCCCCCCCTGTATTCACCTGGGATCTGGCCAATAACACACCTCCTATTTGTGAAACACCATCCTAGATGAAGAACAGAAGGCACAGCAGCCAGCAGCATTGTTAGTCTGGGGGGAGGTCAGGGGAGTGTTAAATGTATTAGCAGATTTAAATACACTAATTTAAGCCAAACTCCAGCTCACAGTTCACAATCAGATGCCAGTAGGTTTTTTCCTTTTGGGATAAAGGTTTTAGATGAATAAATAAAAGCTGACCATTTTAAAGTGATAATAAAAAAGCATAAAAAAAAAAAACAAAACAAAAACACACATATACATACCTGCTCTGTGCAGTGGTTTTGCACAGAGCAGCTCCAATCCTCCTCTTCTCGGGTCCCCTGCTGGATCTCCTGGCCTCTCCCTTCTTGCTAAGGGGGCACCGAAGCAGGCCATTCAAGCACAGAGCCAAGGCTCGGCCCCACCCACTCTTTCTCCTCATTGGCTCACTGTCTGAGACAGTCTCAGCCAATAAGGATGAAGAGTGCCTGGAGAGCCGAGGCTCTCATGTACATTGCAATGCATGAAGGTAAAAAATCCCTGAGCTTTTACAACCATTTTAACCATCTCTGCCAGTGTTAAATGGTTTGCCTCATTCCTGTAAACAGATATTCTGCTGGAGAACTTGAGCTTTTAAAAACCTGTCTAGACAGCAGATGAAAAACACAAGACAGCCGAAAAAAGAAAATGAATGAAACCATCACATCTAAGAATTGGCAAGCTGCAATATAATAAAATGTTTGCTTTGGGTTTAATACTGCCTCAGATGCATAGATTTCACCAGTATTTCCAAAAGATATAAAACTACTAGTTAGCCTAAATCTACACTTTCTACCAAAAACTGAAGCTTTAGACTAATCTAAACTGAAATTTCAAATGGAAATCCATCCATTCTACTTCTGAGTTCTAAAGCTAAATGAAGGGAAAACCCTACCACAGCCCAGTACAGTACGGCTGTGTAAATACCCAGCTACCTGAAAACATAAAAGGTGCTTATAGTGCAATGTGTTTTGGGGCAGGCAGAGTGATTTTTTCCATCATGCTGTTAGAAAAACACACCTTAGATTCAACATGGAAGAAATTACAAAGTGGTTTTAAATTTAAGTTTTTCCATGTGGGCATATATATTTTTTTAAAACTTAAGTTTATAGCGTGAATCTACCCTTAGTCCAAGGCAATAACACACAAAACTGTACCCAATAAGAATATATTTACAAAAAAACAATGCAGTCTAAAGTTACTGATCAGTGCTCAATTGAAACATACCTGTTGGGCTGTCAGAGTGATCCCCGTGCTGCAAATGAATACCTACAGCGTCAACAGAGTTTACTGTAACAGTCTGCAGGTTTGGCAACTGCCCAGTACTTAAACTAACTGGAGTACCTCCACCAGCAACTTGGCCAAGTGTAAGTGTCTGCACAGGCGTCAAAGTTATTTGTTGAGGAGACGAATTCTGAATCTGTAAGTTTTGCAAGTTCTGAACTCCTTGAACTTGAAATGTCTGCCAGGCAATCTGACCAGAAGGAGTCACTGTTTGGGCTTGAATAAGGAAAGTTCCAGGGTTAAGCTGCAACTGAAGGTTTTGCAGAGCTTGTGATGATATGGCTTGACCCCCAGCCTGAACTGCTTGTATTGCCTGTTGTGCTATACTTTGCACAAGCTGGGCTTCACTGGTCGGCTGCTGGCTATCTTGAAGTTGGATATGCTGTACCATTTGTTGCGACGTGGAGCCCTGAATATTATGCGAGTCTTCGGAAATAGAACTCTGAATGTAGTTTCCCTGAAGATCAGATGTTTGCACATGCCCAGATGGACTGCCAGCCAAACTATTCGCACTCTGCTGGAGCATTCCTGTACTGTCTATAGTAACAGGAAGCTGAGATGAAGAAGTTGGCACAAACAAATCTGTTTCAGAGTTTGTATCACCAGCATCAGGAGAAACATGCTCTTGCTCTGCAGTCCTTTCAGATGCATCAGAGCTGTCTATGGCTTGCCCTGCACTTATCAAGTGTCCATCAGCTGTAATGCCAGTCATGGCTTCAGAGCCACCAGACAGACCCAATGAATCTAGGTCAACACTGTTAATAGGGACAAAGGTGATGTTACCAGGCAAGCCAAGTGGGACATTAGCAACAACTTGTGTTTGGCCTCCATATGTAACTCCTTGAATCTGTTGAAGTTGACCAGCTTGTGTTAGTATATTTGGACTTGATGACAAAAGGCTAGCAGAATGGTTTCCAGGAATAATCTGGATCTGACCAGATTCTTGGTCTAACCCACCATTATCAGAAGACGTGGCAAAGCCAAGTTGAACTTGCTGACCATCAGATGTCTGAATCTGTGGTATGACTTGATATTGAACATTAGACAGAGTTCCATTAGCTGTGTCTGAGCCTTGTGCTACAGAAAACAGATGCTGATTTTGAAGAGTCTGAATTGGTAACACATACTGTCCACTTGAAGTTACTGTAGCACCACTTGGGAGCTGAACAATATTTCCAGCTTCATCTTTTAAAGCAGCTTGGGCTGGAGTCAAAACTTCCCATCTGTTTGGACCCCCCTGATAACTGCACAGATGACAAATCCTCTGTCTGTAGAAAGAAAAAACAAAAGTTAAATATATACATATATAAAAAGAAAAAAAAAAATTCTTAGAAACATAGGACATTATTTTAAATCAAGAAACCGTTTTATTAAGAAAATTGTTCAGGGAGAAAATTTTGGCCGACCTCCTTAGGGAAATGCTAGGTTTCTGGCATTCAAGCTGTTGCTTTGATGTCAATACTCTTAGTCAATGACCTGGAATAATTATGCAGAAAACAGAGTGCCTGATCTGCATACTTGTTCCATATCAGTGAAGTAGGAAGTCTGTAAAGAGCTTGAGATGAAATTTAAGGCATCCCCAACACTTTGTCTCTTTTACAACGGTGTTCAGTGTGTCCATTTTTCATCTGTCTGCTGACGAATGAAAAACAGACAGCAATTTATATCTATGGACAAACTGATCTAAATGGTCAATCAGTTCAGTTCCTACTTTTTCCCTGAATCCGGGACAGCCAATATCTAGACCCATTGAAACTTAAGCCTAGTACACACAGGCCGAATGTTGGGCGGTTTCTTCTGAACCGGCCGACATTCGGCCTGTGTACAGCAGCAGGTCCGACAGAAGCCGGGCGAAGGGGCATGACCAAAAAAGGTCTGGCGATCTGCTACCGATCAGCGCTCTCAGCCAATGGATGACCGCACTGCCGGGAGGACCTTCCCCCGTCAGAACACAATAGTACAGCAGGGGAGATCGCTGTACTAACATCTGATCTTTGGTACAGCAGCTCCTCCTGAGCTGTCAGTTCTCTTTTGTTCAACCCAGCGGGCTAAATGGGGGGAAAAAAAAAACAACTAATACTGTGTACTAGGCTTACATTTTGAAAAAAATTAAGATTTTTTTTTTTATTTACCTGTAAAATCTATCACAGGACACAAGGCTACTTCATTTTTATGACTACTTGGGTTATGCTTCCACCTTCAGATGAATGGACACTGATCGAAAAAAGCAGGTACCCCAGGTATAAACCCTCCCAACTCACTAAGCCTCAGTTTTGTAACAAGGAACACAGAAAAAAGGAGGAAGAGAGCCCTGTGTCCTTTACTGTACCCCAAGAAAATGATTTTACAGGTTAACCAAAAATCCTGGTTAAACAAATTATAGTCAAGTAGGTATTCCTAACTCAAAACGTATTGTCTACTGCTCTCAGCCCCCCAAAAATTCAATTTTTTAAATTTTTTTGCTGATATAACCTAACATTCTGTTAGAGCTTGAAACATTAGTTCTCCATGGTTTCACTGTATGTAGAAAAATAGCCAACTTCTCTTACTTGCGTCCAAGATAGACTAGGGACTATGGACCGCAGTGCACATTACCACAACTAACGTGTACTCTACATTTCAAACAAAATAAAGTGCGGAGCGAAAAAAGTTCAGGGGAACACTGAGGACATTACAAGGACTAAGGAAAAAAAAAAAAATAGTGGGTGTGCATGGATTATTTTTGGAGACTAGGATACGGTTTAGTCTCTAATGATACATCGCAGGACATGGATTCTTTAGATTCATGACTATTTGTGAATACCAAAAGCATCGAACATGAGGGGAGGGCAACAACACCAATATGTTCAAAACAAAATAGGGGAAATACTCACTACAAAGCCACCTGCAATCCCTGTTGACCAAAACTGGAAAATAAAAAAAAAAAACAAAAAAAAAAACACATGAAAATGTAAATCAGTAAAACTTAGTAAACTTGTAAACAGAAGACCAGGTAGCAGCCCTACAAACTTGAACAGAAGCTTGAGGCTTATTAGCCCTGGAAGCACTGACGCTCCTGGTGAAATAGGCCTTGACCAGAAAAGGAAGAAGACCCTTGCTCTAGATACCATAGGCCTGAGGAATAAGATGAAGAATTCACCTAGAAAAATAGCAGACTGAGAAGCAGCCTGACCCTTACAGGGACTAAAGTTAAAAATGAGAAGCTCTAACATTTAAAACTAAGCAGCTCCAACACAACATTAAGAGTGAAGCACCTTCTCCATTCAATGCTTAGGAGTCCTCAAACCCCCTTCTCCTTGTGAAGAATCAGGAAGGTTCCTTGCAGGAGACAAAATAATGGTTACCAAAAGACAACTTCCAGTGTAAGAAGCGACAAAAGAACTTAGAGATGCTCAAAATGGAGGGGTATGTGAAACAGACAACAGCAAATTAAAAAGGATAAGTTCACCCAAGTTCATTTTAAAAAAATAAATAAACACACACCACCACATAACTGCACATTTTTGCAGGTATAAAATGTACATTTATTTATGAGCCTGTAAAGCACTGTACCCACAATCAGCCGATAGTGGGTGCAATGCCAGGCTCCTGTAGACTATCTGTATAGCTGTCTGCTCATACCTCCGATATGGGCAGGCAGCTACTGAATGACAGGAAGATCAATGATCTACCACAGCACTCACAAGCACCCTTTTAGATCACGGAGAACTACAAGCTGCAATGGATGACGGTATTTGTAGTTTATTCATTGACAAAACTCTGAATGAATGACATGGACTTGTGGGTGGAGTCCCCCATGGTCGCACACTTTTTGAATTGTGACAGTGGGTGCGAGGAGAAGATCCCTGACCCGCTGAAAAATCAGTGGGAGAGGAGGCAGATGCTGAACAGGTTACACCCTAAATATGGGTGTAACACGTTCACAGAGGTGAACTTATCCTTTAAGGTTAAACAAAGCTAAAGGGGGCAATCTGTGCAACACCATGCACAAAGGCTTTTACCAAGGAATGAGATGCAATAGGTTTTCCAGAACACCTTAGTCCAGCAAGCTGGAATCCGTTGTCAAAATCTTTCAGGTCATCAGAAGAAAAGATTTTTCCAGAATCAGCATGGATATCTACCATTCCAGAGACGATTTGTGCTGACGAGTTAGGTGCATGGGCCAATCCAAAGACTGTTGATGTCTGTCCTACACCAACAGGATATTGAGTTGTAAGGCCCTGGAGTAAAAGTGGGCGCATAAAACCGGATTGAATATTGCCACCCTCTTCTCCCCGTACCCTCACGCAGACACAAATCAAGGTATTCTCCAGCAACCTCTGACTTCACCTTAGAACATAAGGTCAACTTCTGAAGGTTCAGTATCCAATCGATCCTTTCTAGGACCTGCACTGCCTGATGGACATTTGATACCAAGGTCTGAGCTGCTTGCTCCCAGAGAATCAGGTCAATCAGATACCCCATTTTGGGTATAGTTTGGGTCCTCAACAATCCTTGAGTCAACACCTTGGTAAACACTGTGGTAGCCACGGAAAGACCAAACAGCACAACTGGTAGTAGCAGATCCTCTACTGCAAACCACAGAAGCCATTCAGAAGGCTGTTAAATCAGGTAGGTAGGCTTCCTTGCTATCCACTGCCACCAGGAAGTCCCCCTGGTGATCGGGTAAACTCCATTCTGAATTTCTGCACCCATTGGAATTTGTTGAGGCCCTTGAGGGCTATAATAAGCCAGACATTTCCGTTTGGTTTTGGAACTATAAATAAGTTATGGTAGAATCCAAGAGACTTCTCTTCTAGCACAGGCATGATGACCTCTTAAACAGCAGTTATTTCAAAGCTGCAAAGAAAAATGGTCTCTTATGGCTTCAAAGCAACCCTTGAGTGCATAAAGCGTGTAGGGGGAAAGCATCAAAAGTTACAACTTGTAACCCCTAGACACCGCAATACAATCTGGATGGCTACAAAGGCTGATAAAGGGACACCCCACTTTCTAGGATCCTTCATCAGGAATGAGGACTTGTCTCAGTTAGAGATCAGATTCTTACAGAACTGGATATTAGGCTTCTGCTTGGAGGTGGAAGCCTGTGGTTTACGAACGGAATGCTTTTTGACCTTTGAAAGCTGCACTAATTTCTGTTTGCGCCTTCTTTAGGGGTAAGAGTGCAATTTTAGCCACAATCATGTTCAGAATCAAGGCATTCAAGGATGGCCCAAATAAATGCACACCCTTAAAAGGGCAACCTCTCAAGTTTCTTCTTTAAAAAAAAGTTTCACTGACCAGCACTTGAGCCACAGGATCCTCAGATGGACAAACACTGTTCACAACCTTGAAAGCTGCCACATGGAGTACTCCAAGGAATCATCCAGAGAAACTCAAAGCCCTTGGGAAATCCTCTAGTTGCTGCCAAATGCCCACATCCCCTTGGTCTAGTTCTCTGAAATGAACATACACTTTGCCAAAATTAAAGACTTGGCAAACATACATCACCAGTTGCAGTACTGCACCCACCAGAGAAAACACCTTAAAGAGGACCTCAAATCTTATCTGTAGCAGCTTTGAATTCTGGGACCTAATCCAAAGGAACCATAAGGGTCTCATTCAAATAGTTGACTCATCCAAAGTGGATCTCAGAGGAACATCTTTTAGTCAAGGATGATGATCAAACACTTCCTATACGCAGGTTAGCGCACCCACGGTCGTGTGTTCCCTGCAGTCCAACCCAGTGAAATTCCCTGAGAGCTTTACATGCAAACCAGAAGTAACTGTGAAAATGAAGGTCTTGGCTGACCTTACCACTGCTGCAGGAGAAGAGTCTGTATTTAAGGGCAAGCTGGATACATGCGAGTCCCAGTCGGACAGACTCAAGATGGTGTCAGCGCAGCCTGATAATGTCAGATCTTCATGCACCGCTATGAAAGTATAGGACTGTTGTTGGTGCAGCATAGCCATCCAACAACAGCATACAGCATTAGCCAGCAGACTAGGGGCACACTGGGATCACCACAGATACACCACTGGTAGGCATACCTGCAATCCCGCTGCAGGGCTAAGTAAGGACCAAAAACCACCCATCACAGCAGGCATGGACCTTCAAAGGGACACAACTTCCCTAGCAAGGGATTACTATCCTGGACCCGAACAGCACCCTGCCAGCGAGGTCACTGGTAATGCTGTATCCTGTTTGCTGCCTGCATAGTCCAGTGCTGAATGGCTGCAGGGATGCTGAATTTGTGTATCACCTGATGCCCCAGACATGTAGTTCTGG